CCATCCAGTCCAACCCCATTCTGCCAAGAAGCAGGAAAATCACYTTCAAAGCACCCCTGACAGATGGRCATCCAGCCTCTGTTTAAAAACCTCCAAAGAAGGAGCATGCACCACACTTTTGGGCAGAGAGTTCCGCTGCTGAACAGCTCTCATGGTCAGGAAGTTCTTTCTAATGTTCAGATGGAATATCCCTTCTTGRAGTTTGAAGCCATTGTTCCGCGTCCTAGTCTCCAGGGCAGCAGAAAACCAGCCTGCTCCCTTCTCCCTGTCTTCCTCTCACATATTTATACATGGCTATCATGTCTCCTCTCAGCCTTCTCTTCTTCAGGATAAACATGCCCAGCTCTTTAAGCCGCTCCTCATAGGGCTTAGCTGCTCCTGATAGGGAGCAGCCACCGAAAAGGCCCTCTTCTCCTCMTTTCACATCAAATATACTTGAGCAGGTAGTGGGACACAGAGAAGGCCCTCRCCAGTAGATTGTAGATGTCTCGCAGGTTCATAGAAAGAGATACGGTCCTTCAGATAGTCTAGACAGGAACCATATAGGGCTTTGTAGGTTAAAACCAGGCCTTTGAATTGTGCCTGGAAATGTGTTGACAGCTAGTTGTCTGCTCCCTGTATCCAGCCCCAGGTAGCAGCCTGCTGGTCTTTGGACCAACTGAGTTTTCTGAGCACTTTCCAAAGGCAGCCCCATGTAGCGTGCATTACAGTAGTCCAACTGGGATGTAATGAAGGCATGGACTACCATGGGCAGATCTGATTTTTCTAGGCAAGTTTTAACTGTGCAAAAGCTGGTTCAGATCTGAATCCAGGAGGAACCCCCAGACTGCAAGCCTGTGTTTCAGGGGAGTGTGACCCCATCAAACACAGGCTGAATCTCTATTCCCAGATCTGTCCTTTGACTCACCACCTCTGTCTTGTTTAAATTGAGTTTCAATTTGTTTGCCTGCATCCAGTCCATTACAGAGCAAAGTAAATGTTTACTTTTAAAAACAACACTGCTATTCCCAGATCCTCCATGAACAGAAGGTTTAATGGTTAAAGGGTTCTGGGAGTTGTAGTTCAAAAAGGGAATGTTTCTGTGATAAACATGCTCACTTGATCACATTATATCCCATCCCTGATTTCTTTCTTTTCTAGCAAGACAGTATTTATTTACTGGGATAGTTTAAAAAACAAAAGAGCAGAAAGGTTGAGGCATTGGTCATCAGGAAACAGATTTAGCTGAAGAAGACCTTCAGAATTATCATGGAGGAATGCTCTCTTTTACTCCCTACATTGGTTCATTCTTTTTCTCCTTTGTGAAGTGAGCTGAATTTTCTTATTATTAGTAGGATACTGCTAAGCTGGCCGTGAAGATCCTATGTTGAATCTCTACAAGTGACTTACTTACTTACTTCATAACCCAAGGATGACGGCCCTCCAAGTGTAGTGTCTTGGCGGTGGATACATAGGCAGCTGTGGAGATCTATTCTTGATCCGCATGTTCTTCTGCAGCGATGACATCGGTTTCCAAGTGGAAGGCAGTCCCAGTCAGGTTTGGCTTCCTCTTGGCACATTTCTCCCTTTTGCCCTCTATTCGTGCCGCTTCAAATTCTACAGCACTGCTGGTCACAGCTGACCTCTAGTTAATGCATCATGGGCCAGGCTTTCCCAGTTCTTGGGGGGGGGGTTGTTTTTGGTCATGTCAGGAGCGACTTGAGAAACTGCAAGTCGCTTCTGGTGTGAGAGAATTGGCCATCTGGAAGGACGTTGCCCAGGGAACACCCGGATGATTTGATGTTTTTATCATCCTTGTGGGAGGCTTCTCTCATGTCCCCGTATGAAGAGCTGGAGCTGATAGAGGGAGCTCATCCGCCTCTCCCTGGATTCGAACCTGCGATCTGTCGGTCTTGGTGTCTATGCCATAGTTTTTAAGGTTAGCTTTAAGCCCATCTTTAAATCTCTTTTCCTATCCACCAACATTACATTTTCCATTCTTGAGTTGGGAGTATAGTAACTACTTTGGGAGATGGTGATCGGGCATTCGGACAATGTGGCCAGTTCCACGGAATTGATGGCGTAGTGATACATGGGACTAAGGGCCCTTCCACACAGCCAAATAACAGAATATATTTGAGCTGTGTTTTCCTTCCCAGGGCGATTGTGCCCTGCTTTGTGCTGGTCAGTGACTGTAATAAAGTTTTGTATTGTAACCCAGAATATCAAGGCAGAAAATCCAACAATATTTGCTTTGAACTGGGTTATTTGAGTCCACACTGCCATATATTCCAGTTCAAAGCAGAAAATGTGGGATTTTATTCAGCTGTGTGGAAGGGGCCTTAAAGGGCAGCCTTCTCCAGTGTTGAAATCACTGCAATCCTCTGTTGCACTGCAGCATATCCTGTTGGCTTTGGCTAGGAAATAGAAGCTAAAAGGAGACTTAGAAATACCAATGCTGTCACCTGCTGGTTTGAACCTGTATTGCAACCCCTCTCCACTCTGCTGCAGGAAATAGTAAAGCACCCAACAAGTTTCCAATGTGTCTTTCATTTTATTGATTTGTAATATATCTTAATATAGTATGATATATGTGGATAAATAAATTATAAACATTTCAGGACTGCTGACTGACAGATTAGCGATTCGAATCCGGGGAGAGCAAGTTGTGCTCCCTCTGTCAGCTCCAGCTTCCCATGCGGGGACATGAGAGAAGCCGCCACAAGGATGGTAAAACATCAAAACATCCAGGCATCTCTTGTGCAACATCCTTGCAGATGGTCAATTCTTTCACACCAGAAGCGACTTGCAGTTTCTCAAGTTGCTCCTGACACGGAAAAAAAAAAGGCTCGAGTGTGGGTTAAAAGTAATTATTCTCAGCAAAGTGTCCTGGGAAATGTAAATTCTATGGAGGAGTTGAGGATTTTCATTACAATTGGAGGTTCATGATTATGAAATAGGGCAAATTTAAAGGATTGTGAATAAAGAGATCCGGACCATGGATAGGGGAACCCTGGAGCACAGATACCGAGTCCCATTAACTGGGTGGCCTGTACCAGCATTGGGCCGCTTATGGATCCATGCCTGGAAAGATCAAGAAGCTATAAACCCAATTTTCCCCAGTCAAAATATCTCATTAGTTGAAGAAGAAAGCCACTGAGGTATTTTATTGCAATCAGCAAAAACAGACATTTTTATACACAGAAATCATTTGTATTTCCTGCACCCACCCCAGCTGGAGCCGGCTCCTTGCTGATTGGAGGAGCTTTGTTGACATCATAGCCAGCTGAGGAGGATTCCTTTGGAGAGGCGGGACTGCAGCATCCGCCAGCCAATCAGACAGCGTTTCCCGCTTCTAATGCAGATTTCTGCTCTCCAATGGCTGACAAGGGGTGGGGGGTGGGGGGCAGGATGGTCCAGGGGACAAAGTTATAGGCAGTTTTGTGAATGAATCACCTTGTCCCTCTTTTGGGATAAACAAAACAAGGCCATCAGGTTCCTGGTGACTATGGAATGTTCTTTTGAATTGATGAGTGAGTCATTAAGGCACCCATGTCCAGAGTGATACCGCCCTGAGTCCCCCCCCCCCTCGGGGGTAAGAAGGACAGGATATAAATCTCAATAATAATAATAATAATAATAATAATAATAATAATAGATCTCAGCTGACATTTGGAAACAATAAACATTGACAAAATCACAATCTGTCAACTGCAAAAGGCATTTCTTGGATCTGCACGCATCATTCAAAAATACATCACACAGTCCTAGACGTTTGGGAAGTGTTCGACTTGTGATTTTGTGATACGAAATCCAGCATATAGATCTCATTTGCTGTGACATACTGTGTTTTTGTGTCAATAAAATAATAATAATTCATAGAATTGTCAAAATGTGGTAGGATTAGTTAATCCAGTCCGAGGAAAGTGGAAATGTAATTTTGGGAAAACAGGGCAAGACGTGCCAGGTGATAAATGTCTTTTATCATGTCCAAGTAGCTGCGCAAAGGACAGGCAGCTATCAGGTATCAGGAGCTTGCTGTCCTATGCACAGCTGGGTCTATGGGGCCAATGGAAATGGATTGGCCCTGGAGATGATGGGTGCTTGTATCCATTGTTGTGATGACCAGGAAGCGTTGGAGGGGACTTCAAGGTTATGATGAGTGGGTGAAGGGTTACCTGAGCTGGATTGCTGGCTTGATCTCCAGAAGTTTTTGTATAAAACATATTAAAGACATTTTATGCACACAGATGGGGATCCTTGGATAACGGGAGCTCCCAACCGCGGAAACCAGGGTTGGGAGCCCCTGGCATCCATGGGGGCAAGGTTTGGCAAGGGGTTAGTTAGGGTGCAGTGATGTGAGGGAAGGGAGCTCTGCTCTGGGGGATGTGAGGGCCACGGGGCCATGTGGGCCAGGTTACTGGGCCCGACTGCAAGAGGGAAAGGGAAAGAGAAAGACACACAGAAGCCAAAGCAGACACAAAAAGTCAAAAATAGAGGATAATGCACTCCAGTGCACATATATTGAAGGGTTATATTGTAATAGAAAAGGGGCAGAAGATAGATATCTAGTTTGCTGGTAGCTGTGGCTGGGCTCCTCAGTATCTCCAATAGTTCACAAGACCGATTCCTGCAGGACAGTAAGCTCCCACTCTCCGTGGCTCCCTGCACCATGGTTCCATATATATCTTATTCATAATTTGAGCTGGGGAGGGTGGGAGTCAGTGCTCGGTATCAATTAGACGTCACCCAGAAATCTTCTCAGCACAAAACAGGATAAATACTATTTTTTTCTTTGTGTCAGGAGCGACTTGAGAAACTGCAAGTCGCTTCTGATGTGAGAGAATTGGCTATCTGCAAGGATGTTGCCCAGGGGACGCCTGGGTTTTACCATCCTTGTGGGAGGCTTCTCTCATGTCTCCGCATGGAGAACTGGTGAGAAATGATTAATGAAAAACACTCCAGCCTTGGGGTGCTTTTGGAGGACAGCAAATACTTGGAAATCAATTTTTTTATTATTATTTCACATTTTAGATAGCACCATGGAAGTGATAAAAGCAACCTAAGCTGGTTTCAGAAAGGAATAACAGACGTTGAGTCGATTCTGTATTTTTGCCTTCCCTTCCGTTTGCTCAGGGCTGCCGAACGATCTTCAGTTATATCTGATTGTTTCTCTAATCCAGTCCACATATTTGCAGACATTAACATAGACTCCTGGTCTGTTTGGCTGTCCGCACAGCACTGGTCCCCAGGACACAATCCCTTGCAGCTGCCCATTGCAGACGAGGGGTCCTCCTGAATCACCCTACAGGAAAAGTAAAATGCAACATGATCAGAGATGGATGAGATTCATTTTCACTTTTTGGATCATAACTTTTCCAAAATTTGCAAATTTCTTCATGAATGTATCATAATTTTGAAGTTTACAAGAACCGAATGTGGGGGAAAAGTAAAACTGAGATCTTTACTTATCTGTGTTTCAGTGTCTAGTCCCTAAAGGTCTGCTGTGAACTGTATAATTATGAACCTATAATTTCCAAATCAGGGGCAAGCATCACAGTGGCTGGAATCCTGTTGGTTACTCCCAACTTGAGTTAGAATGATTGAAGCCATTGTTAAGCGGTTGAATCAATCCTAATTAAATCATAATTAAAATAGGATTCTATTTTCTATTCTTAAATAGAATCCAACTTAAAATAGGATTTAAGGTACTATATTTTTGTAAACCAGCACATTCCCAGCACCAACTGGGGAGCCAGGAAGAGGGGGAGCCAGGAAGATACAGTTCCACCATGTCTCCTGTGTCATCAGTTGGGAGCCCCTTCCCCCAGCAACAATATAGTAATATATAATACTAATATTGTGCTATGCTAATAATATAATATATTGTATATACATGTAATATTGTAAATAATATTATAATGTAATACAATATAATACTAATAATAATACAATATAATAAAGGTATATCATATATTACATGTAATATTACTAATAATATTGCAGTATAGTGGTATAGTACATACAGTATAGTAATATATAATACTAATATTGTGCTATGCTAATAATATAATATATTGCATATACATATAATATTGAAAATAATATTATAATGTAATACAATATAATAATAATAATACAATATAATAATGGTATATATTCCATGTAATATTACTAATAATATTGCAGTATAGTGGTATAGTACATACAGTATAGTAATATATAATACTAATATTGCGCTATGCTAATAATATAATATATTGCATATACATATAATATTGAAAATAATATTATAATGTAATACAATATAATAATAATAATACAATATAATAATGGCATATTATATATTACATATATTTTTGCAGTATAGTGGTATAGTACAATATAGTAATATATAATGCTAATATTGTGCCATGCTAATAATATAATATATTGTATGCACATATAATATTGATCATAATATTGTAATACAATATAATACTAATAATAATGCTCTATAATAATATAATAATTATATATTATACATTACATGTAATATTACTAATAATATTACAGTATAGTGGTATAATACAAGTTAGTAATATATAATGCTAATATTGTGCTATGTTAATAATATAATATATTGTGTGTACATATAATATTGATCATAATATTGTAATGCAATATAATACTAATAGTAATACAATATAATACTATAATAATTTTATATTATATATCACATGTAATATAACTAATAATATTGCATTATAGTGGTACAGTACAATATAGTACAATATAGTAATATACTAATATTGTACTATGCTAATAATATAATATTATTATAATATAATATATTGTATATACTATAACTTATAAGACTCTCGGAGTCCCCTTCGGGGTGAGATAGGGTGGGGTATAAATATAGTAAATAAATAAATACATTTAATTAAGAAGTAAATACATGTTTGGGATACTATGCCATCTATCGATCTAAAAACAAAGATGGCTGATCAACAAGACTTCCGAATGAAAACACAAAAATATCTCATTCTCATTCTTACTGTATTTCACAGAATCCCACTTGTTTCACTTCCTTGCAAATCAAATTGCAATATTTCCCCCGACCATGGGCAGAAAATTGTGCATATTTTATTTTTTTTAAATACATAATTCTTGTACACATTTTCCATTAGCTAATTCATGTTTGTGCACATTTTAGTCACATTTTTCAAATGTGTTTTCCACATGCTTCCTCTTCAAAATTCATTGTAAGTTTTGGAAAGTTATGAATTGCGAGGACAAAATAATAATAATCATCATCATCATCATCATCATCATCATCATCATCTTGGTTTTGTTGCTAGTCACAAGGTAAGGTATAAAATGAACATTTCATATGTAAATATGAACGTGACATTTTTTTCTTTATTATTTGTATTGTATAGAGACCTCTTTTGCACTCTTGTCCACCTGTCCCATTGGATACAGTAGAGAAAACAGCTCACCTGGCAAGCATCTGTGCCTCCCTCCATCTTGCCCGCGCAGACCATGTTCTCATTGATATAATTGGGATAAATGGATCGGCAGGCTTCATAGTTGACAATGGTGATGTTTGCACAATGCAGAACATCTGGGAAATTTACTGTGTGAGAAAAAAGCACAATGCTTAGGGGAAAAGCAATTTAATAGTAAGCAATGAGTACAGAAACAAGTTATTTTTCCCGCCTGCTTTGGTCTTAAAATACTGGTAGTCAGGGTCATCCTTTGCCATACAAAAGCTGTGTAACACAATCAATTAATAACTACCAAAACCAGTGTAGGAGCTTGACCATTTGGATAACCTCTTGTTCGTGACACATGTATGCACAGCTTTGTTGTTACTGTTGTTGAGTGTCTTCAAGTCATTTCTGATTTGTGAGCAGGTCTAAGGTGAAAATGTTAACAGTATTTTCTGGGACTGAGAGTGTACAGTATGCATGCGACCCAAGTCCACATGCATACTGTATTTCACCATATAATAGTCTGACTCCCCCCACTCTTTTTGGGGGAGGGATGACAAGAGGGATGTGACTATTATGTGGTGAATGTGTTACAGTATTTTCTGGGACTGAGAGTGTACAGTATGCATGCAGCCCAAGTCCACATGCATACTGTATTTCACCATTTAATAATTTGACTCCCCCCACTCTTTTTTGGGGAGGGACAACAAGAGGGATGTGACTATTATGTGGTGAACGTATTACAGTATTTTCTGGGACTGAGAGTGTACAGTATGCATGCAACCTAAGTCCACATGCATACTGTATTTCACCATATAATAGTCTGACTCCCCCAACTCTTTTTGGGGACGACAACAAGAGGGGATGTGACTATTATGTGGTGAATGTGTTACAGTATCTTCTTGGACTGAAAGTGTATGGTATGCATGCAACCCAAGACCACATGCATGTCGTATTTCACCATATAATAGTCTGACTTCCACCACCCTTTGGGGGGTAGGAACAAGAGGGGATGTGACTATTATGTGGTGATTTTTTACAGCTACGGGGCTTCCCTGAGTAGCCAGCCAAGGGAACCCATAGCTGCAAAACTGCCCACAACTCTCCCCTCCAAGATCCAAAGTTGATCAGGTTGGTGCTGTCCCCTCGCACAATAGTCACACCCATGAGCTAGGAGTCTGACTATTATATGGGGAATACTAAAATCCCCAAACTGGGATCCCAAAAAGGGGTTCTGTGATATTATTATGTGATGACAGCTATTATACGATGAAATACAGGTAAGTCTCTTTCTAGATGGGGTGCATAAAGCTATTCTCTGGCACAAGGATATCAAAGTAATTTTCATTGGAGCCCACATCAGCCTTATGGTTGTCTTCAAAGAGCCATTAAATCCATGGATGGAGAATCTGTGGATACAGGAGGCCAACTATAATGTTCTTACGTAGTGGTTGCTGCTCTTTAGTTTTTAGTCCATTTTGGTCCACATATGTTATTGAATGGAAACTCCCATCACTTTTAATTATCCCCTGTGTGGACTGGAGAAATGGGAATTTCAACCCAACAGCACTTGTGGCTCTGAGGTTTGGGGAAGGGTTGAAGGACATTTTAAAGTCACTGGTCTAATCCACAAGCCTTATATCGAAGTTCAAACCCCACTCTCCTGACTAAACAGAAGAAATTGCAGTCTTCCAGATGTTACTGTAGCACACCCATCAGTTCTAGTCGTGATGACTAATGATGAGGAATATGGAAGTTGCAGTTCAGAAGCTGGAGGGCCACATAAAATGACATGATCGGCTGAATTTGACCTATGGGCCTTGTGTTTGATACATGTGCTCTAATGACTGTTGATTATACTAATGGGTCGATGGACCGTAATAAAATATTGTTGTTGTATGTTGGATTCTGGTGGCGCAGTGGGTTAAACTGCTCAGCTGTTAAACTTGTTGACTGAAAGGTCACAGGTTCAAATCTGGGTGGTGTTAGCTTCCGCTGTCAGCCCCAGCTGCCAACCTAGCAGTTCGACAACATACAAATGTGAGTAGATCAATTCCGCTCTGGCGGAAAGGTAGCGGCTCTCCATGCAGTCATGCTGGCCACATAACCTTGGAGGTGTCTATGGACAACGGTGGCTCTTCGGCTCACCGTTGTTGAACATGACTGGACTTAATGTCAGGGGAAAACCTTTTTACCCTGTATGTGGAGAAAGCCCTCCAACACATTTCCGATGCACACACCCTCCCACACACTCACATATAACTGAAGGAATGTAGAAATAAAGCAGGGATTTTATTGAGCTGGGGATGTTTAGACTCCTGTAATATTGCAGCCTAAACTGAAGTCTATAGGTTTAACTTTTATATCAATATGAGTTACTGAATACAAAAATATTTTCCTGCTTGTCTGATGAAGCTCCAGCTTGGGATCAAATCATATGTGACGTGCACTCCTAAAATATGTCTCTACATACCTTCAGGGCTTGTTGTTGTACCCCACCCTGAAATAAGGCATTCGGTCCCAGGGACAGGGCAGGTGGTTGGCAACTTGAGGATTTTGACTTTGTTATTCAAGCAGACAGGAGTCAGCAGTTTCACGAGCATTATGTCATTGTTCTTGGTTTGAGGATCATAGTTTGGATGCACAATGACTTTGGAGGCTAGCTTCAGCTGTTCGGACCAGTCCAAGCGCTTGAGGTCATGCTCTCCGAGACGCACAGGGAAAGGACTAGGAAGAAACATACAGGAAGGATGACTAACAGCACAGCTTTCAATTTGTTTCTGTTTTTTTTTAAAAAAGAAAGGATTAGGTTTTGTGCTTTTAACAGCAAAAATCCCAAAAAAAGGTAATTTGTTAGTTGAATCTCTTCCTGGCATGAAGGTTGGTTTATTTCCAAGTTCTCATTAGGGTAACTGATATTTTCCTTCAGCTAGCACAGTGGTTCCCAACTTTTTTTTCACCAGGGACCACTGTGACCAAGGACCACTTTGACCACGGACCACTTGACCACGGACTACTTGTCCAGGGAGCACTCTGACCAGGGACCACTTTGATCAGGGACCACTCTCCAACATTAGTTACAAAAGGGTTACGAATCGGTTTTTGGCCAACTTTAGATTTGGTTTGGTTATTTGGGATACTGATTCAGAAAACTGCATTGGGTAGACCACATCAGCTCTAGTTTTGGATACAGAGCATATGCCATCCAGTAGACACCATCTGCTCGCCCACAGAAAACCATATTTAATAAGCCTCGGCACTATAAGAGGGTTTTGTGAAACCAGTTGCTCTCGTTGCAACAGTATAGTAACAGTGAGGCCGCAGACCATATTTTAGTTTTTGCAGACCACTGGTGGTCCATGGATCACAGGTTGGAAACCACAGCAATCAAACCATATCAGTTTTAATCATGAATTTTAAACTCACATCTTGTGTTCACTATAGTTTAACCTTTGTTCTGTGTATTTTAATATATGTATTTGTAGAAATGCATTTTAATATGCATAATTTATGTAATGTTTATGATGATTATGTGTTTTTGCTATGTTGCAACCCATCTCAAGACATGAGGAGAAGCTCGTTGCAACTGTGTAGTAACGGTGAGGCCGTGGACCATATTTTAGTTCCTGCAGACCACTAGTAGTCCACGGACCACAGGTTGGGAACCATTGCCTTATAGTATACATGTACACATACCTTTTCCTTCTACAGTGGGCCGCACTGAGCACCCATGACTTGTGGATCAGAGTCCCTCCACAAACTAGTTTGAAGCCAGAAAAGAGTCCTGCTTGCCACGGCTGAGAGTGAGCGGGGCACGCTTTCCCTCCAGGTACCCGTTCTGCTTCTCCTGCACTGGCTGTAAAACATAAACCAGGAATGAACACCTCCCAGAAAATGTGTAGGTTATAAGCCTTAGTGCCATAGAGAATAGAGATGACTCTTCAGCAGCAGGGCTCACAGTGTAGTGACACAGAGATAGAGGATTTGGTGTAATCAAGAGCTCATTCACAAGGTGTTTTAGAGACTTGCACATGCGTGTTTACAAAGGAAATTTCAGTTGCAACAAGAGAAATAAACTATTGGACAGTACACAAGAGACCTTGTGCATATGCTAATGTGTACATACAGACAGAATTAAAATCGAAATCCCAAATGATTACATATAATTACATATAATAAATAGATGTAGTGCATCTCGCCAAAGACTGAAATTAAGTAATCTCTGCCAAGTCCAGGAAAAGTACTAATGGCAGATGGGCAACTTTGAGGTTGGAATTGTGGCAGGTCTGGGGCCACATCTGCACCCCAGGACCCTCCAGGAAGCCACATAGATTACTAAGAAGCATACAATATGTTCCTGGACATCCACTTCCTCTTCTCAAAAATGTTTTTCACATAATACAGGGAGGCCTCCTTTGGGTTCTGGATGTGGCTCACAGACCTGCCACAATCCCAACCTGGAAGCTTTTTTTCATATTAGGAGTGACTTGAGAAACTGCAAGTTACTTCTGGTGTGAGAGAATTGGCCGTCTGCAAGGACGTTGCCCAGGGGATGCCCAGATGATTGATGTTTTATCGTCCTGTGGGAGGCTTCCTGCATGAGTAGCTGGAGCTGACAGACAGAAGCTCACTCCGCTCCCTGGATTTGATCTACCAACCTTTCGGTCAGCAGTTCTGCTAGCACAAGGGATTCCAATCTGAAAGCTACCCATCTCTCATTGGTACTTTTCCTGGACTTGGCAGAGAGAAGCATTTAGGTCACTTAACTCCAGTCTTCCAGGAGCAGCAATTCACCTTTTTCTCTTGTTTGTAAAAAAAGTCAGTCCGAGGAGGTTTCAAGGGCCATGAAAATATCCTTGATATTCAATAACATGACATACCTGACATAAAATGGTAAACAGCTCAAATGACTGCTGGAGAGAGCCTAAGGATCAGTAAAATTATGGGGTGCTACAGCAGCCCCATAATGTGGCAAAATCAAGGTGTGCTTTCTGGAAGGTTTTTCCCCCCCAATTATTTTAAGCAGTGGTTGGTTGTATTTTCCTTAGATATGCAAACCTACTGCTAGATATAGAAAATTGAGCAATTCAGGTATGTGATTTTGTATCTCTTAGGTAGCAGTGAAAGCCACTGTGTGTTAGTAGTTGGAGTGCTGGACTCGGACACTAGAGACCAAGGTTTGAAGTCCCTACTCAATCACGGAACCCTATTAGATGACCTTGGAGAGCCCCCGGTGGCACAACAGGTTAAACCCTTGTGCTGGCAGGATTGCTGACTGACTGACAGATCACCAGTTTGAATCTGGGGAGAGCGGGTTGAGCTCCCTCTGTCAGCTCCAGCTCCCCATGCAAGGACATGAGAGAAGCCTCCCACAAGGATGGTAAAATATCAAAACATCCATGTGTCCCCCTTGCAGACGGCCAATTCTCTCACACCAGAAGCAACTTGCAGCTTCTCAAGTCGCTCCTGACATGGGGGGAAAAAAACACTGGAGAATTCATATTTACTCATCCTTAAAACTCCTCTGAATAGATCCTGCCTTGAAACTGCTATGATGCTATGATGATATCTAGGCCATATAAAATCAATTGCCCAAATTAAGCTGCTGGTTGCCCCTAATGCTGCAGTATTCCCTTCCATAGGGACATGTAGAAGAGATTTTTTTACAGTTTTGCCTCGGGCAGCTCAATGGCTCAGGTTATCTCTGTATTCATCACAAATTGACACACAAACATTCAAAGTGTGTTAACATATACACTTCTTTGTCCACCCAAGTTCTTACCAGCTGATACGAAAAACAATAGGGCTACCAGCAGTTCCAGGAACATTGTATGCTTGAGGATTGTATTATCTCCAGGAACTTCTTTCTTACCACACCCTGCAAAAGTGAGGGAGACATTACTGTCATGGAGAAGCATCCAATCCATTATACACAGATTGTAGACTGAAATGAATTATGACAGACAGTACAATGCCAGACTGCAGGAAGCAGTCCTATATTTGATTGTTTCTGTATTCAAAAGCTCTTTGCACATGCACTGGAGAAGTAGACTAATAACCTCATCACACTAGAGAATGAATCCACTTTAAATCTGGTTTCTGCCTCCTGCAGAATTCTGGGGTTTGTAGTTCAGGAAGGACCCTTTAACAGCCTCACTAAACTACAAACCCCAGAATTCTGCAGGAGGCAGAAACCAGATTTAAAGTGGATTCATTCTTTAGTGTGATGAGTCTACAGGCATATTGACTCATAGAATAATTGAGTTGGAAGAGATCACATGGGCCATCTAGCCCAACCCCCTGCCATGCAGGAAAAACATAATCAAAGTAGCCCCCACAGATGGCCATCCAGCCTCTGTTTAAAAGCCTCCAAGAACTTAACACACTTTCATAACAGTATTGAAGAAAGCAGTTTCATTGTGCAGATGATTACCAAGGAAATCCTGGAACCATTTTGAGGCTCAGATGGTGATTACACAAACCACAGAGCACTGATGTGCATTGAGGGCTTTCTGTTGCACAGTTTTCAGGTGTTTGTTTTCTATGAGGGTCATTTCAAAAACAATGCCTTGGATTATAGTCGTTCAAAATTGTTTAAATTTAGTGAAAATATCAATGAATCTTTCTTTTACATGTACTGTTTTTCTAGTCTGCATCATAAGACTTCTTCCTGCTGAACATGTCAAGTGTTCGGAAGAGCAGTTTACCATATAGCTCAGTCATACTCGGTTTTGAAATTAAATGGATGACTTCCCTACCTCCATCACACACTAGCAAACTATCTGTTTTATTCAAGAGTCTCAGTTGATTTACCATCACAATGTAGAGCAATGGTTCCCAACCTTTTTTTTGACCAGGAGCCACTTCACCAGAGACCACTTGAACAAGGAACCACTTTGACCAGGGACCACTCTCTAACATTAGTACCAAAAGGGTTATGAATCAGGTTTTGGTCAACTTTAGATTTGGTTTGGTTATTTGAGGTGCTGATTCAGAAAATTGCATTGGATAGACCACCTCAGCTCTAGTTTCTGATATAGAACATATGCCATCCAGTAGTCACTATCAGCTCGCCACAGAAAACCATATTTTATCATCTAGAGCTGATGCGGTAGTAGTAATCTTTCATGGGTAATCAGCCTCTCCCCTCCCGACATCTTCATTGCCTCGGCACTATACGAGGGTTTCACGAGACCAGTCGCTCTCGTTATCACATGGTTTCAAGGTAACGGTGTAGTAAAGGTAAGGCCGTGGACCATATTTTTATTCTTGTGGGCCACTGGTGATCTATGGACCACAGGTTGGGAACCACTGTTGTAGGGCCCTTCCATACAGCCCTATATCTCAGAATATCATGGCAGGAAATCCCACATTATCTGAGTGTAGACTCAGATAACCCAGTTCCAAGTGGATATTGTGGGATTGATATTCTGGGATATAGGGTTGTGTGGAAGGGTCTGTAGAGAGATATTCCTGCCCGCTATCCCTCTCCCATTTTCTTCGTGAAAAGAAACACCTCTCCTGTACTATGTTTTTTGTTCCTGGGTTATAAATGCCATTTCCTAATTGGCTCTATCATAAACACATGGGAAAAGTATATTAAACTGCAAAAACTTCATCTTTGCAGGAGGGATATCCTGCTATAGCACATTTTGCTCTAGTTTCTCAAAGACTGAATATATTGTAGAGTCTCTACCAATGTAACATAATTTGTGGGCACAAAAATGAAGTTGCTGGAGCACAACAACTACTTTCAAACAGGTCTTTGATAATGGCTAAACATAACAACACCAACGGCTGGATAACCTAATTGGACTACACTTTTTAAACTGGACCTTGGTCTCACTAACCTGAGCAATGGTGGAAATATTTTAATTGTTTTATACCATATAAAGCAGGTTTTAAAGGATGATTTCTGTTTTTTAATTTAATATGTTTTGTTTAGTTTTCACTTTTATTGCAGTAATCTGTTAGGGATGTAACCAGAGCGTGGACCACCGTGGCCAAGTCAGACTTCCCAAGGTACAGGCACAGCTGGCGCACAAGTCTTAGTTGTGCAAAAGCTCCTCTGGCCACTGCCGAGACTTGGGGTTCCAGGTTCAGCGATGAGTCCAGAATCACTCACAAGCTATGAACCTGCATCTTCAGGGGGAATGTAACCCCATCCGACACAGGCTGTAACCCTATGCCCTGTGTCCTGGGCTGTAACCCTATGGCCTTACGACTGACCAGTAGGCCCTCTGTCTTGTCTGGATGAAGTCGAACATGACACACACACACACACACACACACACACACCCCCCCCCCCCCCCCATAAGAGATAGTAACTTATAGTTTTGCTAAGGGCAAGGACGCCAGGCTGGATAATAAGGGTTAAGCCTTGGTCAGTTTGGTGTGTATCATTTAATCAAGGCTTTATGCCCTATTTTCATATGTTTACAGCAGAAAGTAACCAATTTATTACTGAAAATCATGCTACAAAAGTATTTGAATTTTTCCATCTGAGGCACACCTGGGCTCCTGATGGTCCCCCATCTCACAAACAAGGGACTCTCTTTCCCCCTCATGGATATATTTCCCTTTATGGACCTTCCTATGAATAATATGAACTATGGACACTGGGGGAAGGTAGTTGGGTTTACTCTCTGTATTATGATTTCTATATTTTCATATTTTCTCCTGTATTTCTATATTTCCCTTCATGTATTTGACCTTGCCCTGACCCTTTTGCCCCCTTCCCCTCTCCTTGGGGGAAATCTACAAGGAAGCTGCCCTGCCTCTGGAAAAGCAATCAGCGATCATGAAAAGACCCTTATCTTTGGACATTCTTTGCATGGACAATAGTAAAGGAAATCCTTTTGACTTCGGAGTTGGGCCACTATTAGGATTTTCGTTTGGCAGACTTTTTAATCATATAACAATGGGGGGAATATGACCTTAGGAAAGTCCTCTTTTCCTCCAAGCCGTTTTTCTTTCAAATCTTTCCACTAAGGACATTCACAAAAGTTTCCCCTTTGTGCCCTATCTGATTGTAAGAGGAAAACCTGGATTAAGCCATCAATGCTTATCACAGACCCATCTCAGGACAATAAAGTGGCTTCTCTGGAAGGCCGATCCCTGGACTCGATAAGCCTAAGGACATTAAAACTCCATAATCCACTCCAGAATGCATTGTCTCCCTTCATCCCGCCTCCCTTCTGATTCGCTGGAGCGTCGAGGCAGCAGGAGCCTCCTGATAGGCTCTGGTGCCCCGCGAAAGCCCTGTGATTGGCCCTGATGCATGGGGGACAGCCAAGCCTCCTCCCAGCTGTTTGCGCGTCAGCCAATCCCCTTCGAGCTGGGCGGGAAGGGGGAGCGGGAATTTTGAAACTCACAACTCTGTATTTTCTACAAAAATGGCCTTTACTTCTGTAACCACATGCTCTGCTTGGCAAATGATTGCCGCTCTGCATCCTTTTCAGCTGAATTGCTAATAAACCTCGGTGGCACTTCCTTCAACTTGGTGAGACCTTGTATTGGGAAAAATCAGGGATTGGGGGCTTCTATCTGTCTCGGTAACAAACTCTTTAAGGAGTCTGATTGGTCTCTGCCTCCTGGCAAAGACCCCTAAATTCCAGCTCTAAAACATGGATTCAATTTCAATTTGTTATATAAGATATGTGCAGTGTGTATAGGAATCAGTTCATTTTTTTCCCAAACTATAGTTTGGCCCCCCAACAGTCTGAGGAAGCATGAACTGGCCCCCCACTGAAAAAGTTTGAAGACCCCTGCTTTAAATGGAAAGAGACTATCTAGAGTCTAGACTGACCTCTCACTTCATTGCATCAGTGATACTGTTGTCATCTTCTAAGAGCAAGTTCCAAGCAAAGCATCTTTAAGAGTCCCAAAGAGGCGAACATCTGACAGTGCCAGATCTGGGCTGTTAGAAGTGTGGGGCAGCACCATCCAAACCATTTTGGAGATGTGTTCCTGGGCACTCAGACTTGTGTGAAGGCATACATTGTCATACTGGAATCGCATTTCTGCTGGATTGGTGCCAGGCCGAACTCGCCGGAAACGTTGCATGACTTGTTCAGGGTGTTAAGACATGCCTCAGAGCTAATGGTCGCACCTTTTGGCAACAAATCAACAAAAATGACTCCATCACAATCCAAAAAGACAATAACCATGACTTTTCCAGCAGAGGGAGCTATCTTGAATGTCTTCTTTATGGAAGATGATTACCCTCCATTGACTGTCTTTTTATCTCTGGTTCTAAAAGTCCTATCAAAGTTGAATCAACGCAACAATCTGGGACCAAAAGACCTTCCACTTGGTATCAAAATGCTTCAGCGATTCAGAATAAATAGCTTTCCTCTGAATCTTGTGATCTGCTGTGAGACTTCGTGGATCGGTTTTGTGTAGATCTTCGAAAATCCGAGAGCCTCAATAATTGAACACAGACTTCCAGTGCTTACCGACAGCTGTATGGCCAATTGTTGTGTTGTGATGCGCTGATCTGGATGAATAACAGCATCCACACAATTCAATATATGTGGAGTGTTGGCTGTGGCAGGACATCCAGCGTGCAGCGGATCACGGAGCTTGTTTTCTGCATTTCCTGATGCTTAAAGGCTCTTAGCCCATTGCCCAGCAGTGCTCCTATCGACTGCACAACTCCCATACACTTTATACAAAGCATTATAGGCATTAACCACACTTTAATTTTTGTGAATTAATAATTCAATTACAAGCTTGTTACTTGTAACTGGAGTCTGCAACAGGTGTTATTTTAGCAATTCATTCACTACAGCTCTGCCATCTGTCAAAATAACTGGAAACCTGGTACACATGCGGGATAAACATCCGATTTCCATCATTCAAAAGTGCACTTTTCTATCTCTATTAATGGCTGAGGACAAATGTAGAGCATTATAGTTTGAAGCTAGCTTCAGCTGCATGAAATGCTTGGTGTAAATGGAGCCTATATTGTCATTAAAAGCTTGATTCACCCTGAATTGACTCTTGGCTGTCCTTGTAACATTCCTGTACTTCCAGTGGATATCATGAGTTATCCTGGGTTAAATCAGCTTTGCCATACTTCAGGCAAAGTGGAAGGATGTTGCTGAGTTTTCCTGAAATGCAGAATAGCTTGTGGCTTTGAGGCAATGGAGCTCTTGCAATGGGTTCACTTGAGATTGCGGCATTGCTCACACAAGAAACTGCCCCATCCCCCTTTCTGGGAGCCCCCGGTGGCGCAGTGGGTTAAACCCTTGTGCCGGCAGGACTGAAAACTGACAGATCGCAGGTTCGAATCCGGGGAGAGGCGGATGAGCTCCCTCTATCAACTCCAGCTCCTCATGCGGGGACATGAGCGAAGCCTCCCACAAGGATGATAAAAACATCAAATCATCCAGGCGTCCCCTGGTCAACATCCTTGCAGATGGCCAATTCTCTCACACCAGGAGTCACTCTTGACACGACAAAAAAAAAAAAAGATCGCCCTTTCTCTGCAATGCAAGAGGTTCAGCAATGCACATTAGTCTTGTGCATTTGTATAGAATCGCTATCCCTTTCAGTTTGTTTCATTCATAAGCTCCCTGTTTTCATTTTGTGCACCTCCCAAAAACGGGTGCCTTTCCGGATGACATTTTCATTCCGCATCCGAAAAAATGAAAATTTTCAACCCATTGGCCACTATGGGCGGCCTTCCCCAGGCTCCCCTTCCCCTCAGTTTTAGGGCTAAAGGGATGAAAATCACCACACATAGAGGGCACATCTACCACTTTTAGCCCACCAAGTTTTGTAATGTTTGGGTCATTCCCCAATTTTTAGGGATTTTTTTCTTTCTATAAATAAAATATCCTTAAAAACACCCCCTCTTTCCCCCCACTGGCCCTGCTATCTAACTTCTCTAAGAGCATCAGCAGGAGCGAAGTAAGGTAGGGCACCATCCCTTCCTGCCAAATGTCAAAGATGCTCCACACACCACACACATAGCCCAGTGCCCAGTTCCACTATTTCACTTCTTTAACTGGCAGCAATGGGAACGGGGAATTCCCCTCCCCTTCCCATCATTTTTGGCAATGGCATGGTTTGTCCTTACATCCTTCATTATGACCTGAGTTACTTAAGTACCACTCTTCCTGTGATGCTTTCTTCTCGGCTTGCAGAGGAGACCTGGTTTTAGAGACAGAGGTGGAATTGTACCACTCTAGTCCAATTGTAATGTCAATCAATCAGTTCATAACCTGGTTTCTGGAGCATGATGCCACACACTCTTCCACTATAAAGTGGTACAGTTCCACCCCGTAAATAATCTGCAATTGACTTTAAATGCCTTTAGAAAGTAACATTTAAAAGTAACTAAGCACTGTTATTTAATAGAGAAACTTCATTCCCAATTGTGTTGCTTTTAAAATGAAATTTAATTACACCCACCCCCAAAATAATAGTATTTCATTCTGGGTGAAACTTTAATTATAACTCATTACACTGGCCAAGATACATTTGGTGCCACAAATGTTAGATCTGTTTCTGGGTATACTTGAACTGCTGATTCCAAAAATGGCACCTGTTCCCCCTATAGTTCTAGTTTTTGAGATAAAGAACATATGCCCCATGAGAAGAAGTCATAGGGAGGAGGGAGCAAGCTTGTTTTCTGCTCCCCTGAAGACTAGGCCGTGGAACAATGGCATCAAACTACAAGAAAGGAACATTAGGTAGAACTTCCTGACTGTGAGCGCTGTTCAGCAGTGGAACTCTCTGCCCCGGAGTGTGGTGGAGGCTCCTTCTTTGGAAGCTTTTAAACAGAGGCTGGATGGTCATCTGTCAGGGGTGCTTTGAATGCAATTTTCCTTCTTCTTGGCAGAATGGAGTTGGACTGGATGACCCTTGAGGTCTCTTCCAACTATGATTCAATGATTCCATTATTCTATCAATTTACATCATCCAAAGAAAATCATGATAACTATATCTAAGAAACTAGAGCTGATGTGGTCTATCCAATGCAATTTTCTGATCCAAAGCCCCATATAACCCCAGAAACAAATCTAAAAAGCAAGACAGCAAGACTTTTTTGTTGTTGTTTGGCTGTGTTATTACTTCCCAGCTGTGCTTGAAAATTATCCATTATCTGAAGACAACAGAAAGTTGGATCCAAACCATTGGAGTCACCTTCAATTTAGGTTCAGGCTAACATGGTATATTATAAACACCCTCTTCATCTGGGACTACTGGTTATGGTCTGTCCAGATCTGTCTCATTGTATAAGCACAAATAATAAATCTGGGTGTTGGTTATCAGGCTGAGATCACCGGTTTATCAGCACCCTCTGCCTCCAGAGGAGATTCTCCAGCGGGGCTCCCCAAATTAAGAAGTCCTCTTTTCCCCAGGAAAAAAAATACAGTGTTATGAAGGGCCTTGCAAGCGTTAGCAAGAAAGGATAGAGATTTCTTACCTCAAAGGCTGGCAGCATCCCAGGCACGGTCTTGCTGTCACCTCCTGGCTTTTATTTTGAATCTTGCCTGGTATTAGCCAAGGTTTGAATGATGAGGAAGTGTATGTTAGCACCCCACCTTTATCATGGATAGCTGAGTGACTAGGTCCAAAGCCATTGTTCAGATTGTCTAAACTTCCTGATGATACAAGAAGCAATTGTTGCAGGAGGAGGAAGGTGCTGGCCAAATCACCCAACCTATCTGCTCATCATCAGCATACGTCTCCCTTGCATAAGTTGCCTGAATCACTTGCCTTCGGCACCTGTTACAACCTGGCTTGCCACAAACCATTTTAGTTAAGATTTAAGCCCTGGCCTGGCCCTCCCATAGAGACAGAGTGAGGTGTTTGCCTCAGGTAGCATAGAATGGGGGCCATGAAGTGCTTGTTCTATACTTGTTCATGAATCAATTCATTTTAATCAATGTTTCTCAACATCTTAAAGTCACTGTTTCTATGTGCATTGGCATTTTGTGTGGAAAGTTATTTTTTCAAAGTAATTACTGTATATACTCGAGTATAAGCCTGGTTTTTCAGCCCCTTTTTTAGGTTGAAAAAGCTCCCCTCAGTTTATACTCGAGTCAAGATTATTTATTATCTTACTCTGTTATTGGTATTATTATTATTATTACATTTACATTATATTACATTTTATTATTATTATTAAATAAATGTAATAATAATAAGAATAAAATAATAAATGTAATAATCATAATTTTATTACATTTATTATTTTACTCTTATTTTACTCTCATTTATTTATTATGTAATAATAATAAGAGTTACATAATAAATAAATAATAAATATTATTATGTAATAATAATAAGAGTCCCGGCTGCTCACTAGAGGGAAGGATACTAGAGACAAAGTTGAAGTACTTTGGTCACATCATGAGGAGACAGCAAAGCCTAGAGAAGACAATGATGCTGGGGAAAGTGGAAGGCAAAAGGAAGAGGGGCCGACCAAGGGCAAGATGGATGGATGGCATCCTTGAAGTAACTGGCTTGACCTTGAAGGAGCTGGGAGTGGTGACAGCCGACAGGGAGCTCTGGCGTGGGCTGGTCCATGAGGTCACGAAGAGTCGGAGACGACTGAACGAATGAACAACAAATAATAAGAGTAAAATAATAAATGTAATAATAATAACTTTATGACATTTATTATTTTACTCTATTATTACATTAATTTTTTCTATTTATTATTATTATTATTACATTTATTATTTTACCCTATTATTACATTTATTGTTTTACTTTATTAAAGTTGTTATTACATTTATTATTTTACTCCATTATTACTGTTATTATTACATTTCCATTATTTTACTGTATTATTACTATTATCATTACATTTATTATTTTACTCTATTATTATTGGAAGGGTGTCCAAGGTGGGAGAAAGAACTCTTGTCAGGACATTCTACACAGGGGCGGCTCAACCCAATACGCAAAGTAAGCATTTGCAGTATAGTTGAGTTTGCCCAGGGGTGCTCTTGAGGCGCTCTTGGGAGAAAATAGACCTTGACATATGCGAGTTGTAGTTACTGGGATGTATAGTTCACCTACAATCAAAGAGCATTCTGAACTCCACCAATGATGGAACTGAACCAAATATGGCACACAGAACTCTCACGATGAACAGAAAATATATATCAGTGATTGGTTGGGGGGGGGGGCAAAATACTGTTTGCTTACTGTTGAAAATTACCTAGGGCCGCCTCTGATTCCACAGATATATAAACCCCATTTTCCTAGTTTCCAACAGACCTCACAACCTCAGAGGATGTCTGCCATAGATGCAGGCAAAACGTCAGGAGACGTTTGGTGGTGCAATGGGTTAAACCCTTGTGCCAGCAGGACTGTTAACAGATAGGTCAGCAGTTCGAATCTGGGGAGAGCGGGTTGAGTTCCCTTTGTCTTCTCTAGCTCCCCATGCAGGGATATGAGAGAAACCTCCCACAAGGTTGGTAAAAAATCAAACATCCTGGCATCTCCTGGATAACGTCCTTGCAGACGGCCAATTCTCTCACACCAGAAGTGACTTGCAGTCTCTCAAGTCCCTCCTGACACAAAACAAGTAGAATGCCAGTAGTCCATTTGCAGCAGGACACGAAGATTGAAGGAGGTCAATTTCTTAGCAATTTTTACTAAAATCCTTCATCTATTATTTGTTTGTTTGTTTGTTTGCTTATTTATTTATCTTCTTTTTAAAAATATCATTATTGTTATTTTATCATACATGCTTAAAATCTCAATAGAGAGCAATAAAGATAAGGATAGATGGAAAATAAAAAGGAAGAAAAGAAAAAAGAAAAACGTAAAGAAAAAAGGAAGTAAAAAGAAGAAATAGAGAAATAAAAAGAAAGAATAATAAAAATATGATTTATTTATTTAACTTCTATGTTGCCTTTCTCCCAGAGTGAGAACCAAGGTAGACATAGTGTCTAGATCTAGGGGAATAATGCTACCCCTCTATTCCGCTTTGGTTAGACCACACCTGGAATATTGTGTCCAATTCTGGGCACCACAATTCTAGAGAGATATTGACAAGCTGGAATGTGTCCAGAGGAGAGCGACTAAAATGATAAAGGGTCTGGAGAACAAGCCCTATGAGGAGCGGCTTAAGGAGCTGGGCATGTTTAGCCTGAAGAAGAGAAGGCTGAGAGGAGACATGATAGCCATGTATAAATATGTGAGAGGAAGCCACAGGAGGAGGGAGCAAGCTTGTTTTCTGCTTCCCTGGAGACTAGGACGCGGAACAATGGCTTCAAACTACAAGAAAGGAGATTCCATCTGAACATGAGGAAGAACTTCCTGACTGTGAGAGCTGTTCAGCAGTGGAACTCTCTGCCCCGGAGTGTGGTGGAGGCTCCTTCTTTGGAAGCTTTTAAACAGAGGCTGGATGTCCATCTGTCAGGGGTGATTTGAATGCAATATTCCTGTTTCTTGGCAGGGGGTTGGACTGGATGGCCCATGAGGTCTCTTCCAACTCTATGATTCTATGATTCTAAGGTAACTTTAAAAAATAATAAGTTAAAACATATAGCACATAATATAAAAACAATTGTGTCTCACTGCAGAACTTATGAAATGTTGCAGTTTGAAAGGCAGAGCCACCTAATTCATGGATTGTCTGATAGAAACATATCAGACAGAACAGTGTCAAAATGGATTGCATGCCATTCTGTTCTCCTGTTTCCTCTCCCAAGCAGCAGCACAACCTTGGGCCACCCTTGGTCCTGAACAAAGGCAGTGTGCAAAGTTATTAGCACTGGTGTTGAATGAGGCCTGGCTGAAAGATGTATCATGTCATGAGGAAGTGTCTCTGGGGAAAAGGTTGACATTAAGATCCCTGTTCCTTAAACCTGTTAAAATGTCAAAGCATAGCATCTCCATTTAAGCACAGGTCTGCTATGCAACACCCCCAAAAAACAGCCATTTTTAAAACTGAATGTGTGGCCATCATTTCCAAGTCTGGAGAGAAGTGGTCACTTTTGACTTGCAGGTAGCAGGATGGGACCAGGAATTGGGTGGGTGCAGTCCCTAGAGTTTTCCAAACTGTGTCTTGCTACACATTTTTTGTGTAGGCTGCAGTGTGTAGGTGTGACACGCGAACGTAACGAGAAATGACAAACACCTTGGAAATGTATATTACATTTACACATCATGTATTTTTGAAAATATAAATGAAAGGTTTTCAGTAGAAATGTTGTATCCCAATACATTTTGTTGTTACAATTTATGCACGTGCCTACATCTATATAAATAAAAATGTAATTTTCGTTTGTGGGATTAACAGAACTCAAAAACCACTGGGGGAATTGCCACCAAATTTGTCCACAAGTCACCTACTAACCCAAGGAGTGACCATCACTCAAAAAATTGATTTTGTCATTTGGGAATTGTAGTTGCTGGGATTTATAGTTTACCTACAATCAAAGAGCATTCTGAACTCCACCAATGATGGAATTGAACCAAATGTGGCACACAGGACTCCCATGATCAACAGAAAACACTAGAAGGGTTTGGTGGGCATTGACCTTGAGTTTGGGAGTTGTAGTTCACCTACATCCAGAGAGCACTGTGGACTCAAACAATTATGGATCTGGACCAAACTTGGCACGAATATTCCATACGCCCAAATATGCACACAAATGGAGTTTGGGGGAAATAGTCATTGACATTTGGAATTTGTAGTTACTGAGATTTATAGTTCACCTATAATCAAAGAGCATTCTGAACTCCACCATCGACAGAATTGGGGCAAACTTCCCACACAGAACCCCCATAACCAACAGAAAATACTTAAACCCAACCAGTCCAACTCCCTTCACCAGGGCAAGAAAACATAATCAACACCCTCCTGACAAAGAGCCATCCAGCCATAGATATAGATATATATGATTCACACACAGAGAGAGATATAGTATCCTAGATTCAAAAAGGACCCCTAAAGAAGGACAATTATATGTTGCATGTTCCAGAGTAGGCAAATCAGACAATCTCCACATCAACACTGATGTGGAGAAACAGCAAGAAACACTGCTTACCCACAAGCAGAAACAAATTATATATATAAGAACTCAACACTTTCACATTACTTTATTTTCCAGATCACCAGACTGGGCCACAGCAACGTGTGGCAGGGGATGGTTAGTCTCCTATAAAGGGTTGGTTTAACTTCTGGTTTGCCAGTAAAATTGAATTACTGTGCTGCGAAATGATGCATGTCTAAAAAGTGTGTCAACAACATGCAATGTTGGGAAAGCTCTGCCCTTCCCTATCTTAGAAGTTCCTAAGTGGACTCTTCATGCTTCGTGGGTCCTGTCTACCAAGATTAAATAGGAAATCACAACCAGTTGAAAATGACAACATTTACTTCCATCTTTACAGGCAAATAGCCCATCTTCCAGATATCTGTTAACTATGTAGTGGGTTCATCAAGGTCCCCGTAGTCACATCTGAAGGTGGATTTCCATCTTCGTGTTAATTCCTTCCCAGGGCAAGACAAAGTTTATTCTCCATGCAATGTTTCATCTTCCAGCCTTTTGGCATTTTATTAACGTCACACGTGATCCTTCCTCTCTTCAGTGTGTCTGATATGTCAACATTAAGAAATAGCACAAATGGTATCTGAAAAAGACAGAAA